CCATTTTACAGAGAAGGAAACTGAGGCACAGAGAGGTTAAGGAAACTGCGGCACAGAGAGGTTAAGGAACATGCCCAAAGTTTCACAGCTTGCAAGTCGTTGGGCTAGAATTTGAATCCAGGTCCGTGTGATTTTTGGAGCCTGTGTGCTGTTTCCCTGGTCATGCAAGACTCCTTCTCCCCAGGAACCTGTGACTTAGCGGATCCCTCCTTGAGGAAAAACACGGGTGATATTAAACATTATTGTTGTGTGTGGTAAAGAAAAAACTTGGTAAATTTTAAAAGGTAATGCACAACTCCTCTCCCCTCGAGGAGCTGAGACCTCATGAGGGGAAGCAAAGGTTACATGCTTGCCACCTTTGAGACTCTGAGCTTCTGGGATGGGATCTAAGTCAGGGACAAGTTTGTATCCTGAAAACAGAGCCTGGCACAGAATCTGGAACCATCTGATGGATAATGAGTGAATTAGGGAGGGAGGAGCTGGGGGGCGGCAGGAAGATGAGATAAGAAACAGAGCTAGAAGTTTCTAGCCCAGAAAGGAGCAGGGGGCAGTGCTGACTGCATCAAGGGGGCAGTGTTCCTACCTTCATGCCCTGGCTGGGCACCCCTGGCCACAGCACCTCATGGCTGTGTCCGCATCAGGTAGGGAAGGAGGGCGCATGAGCAAGGGTGGATGCTTGACTTCGGACAGTGTCTCGGGGACTTGAGGCTTGGGTGAGTTGATGGGAGCAGCTACAAAATCTTCTTCCTTAGGGAAGAGGCTGGGTCAGATTACTGATTTCTGAGTTTAAGTATTACTCAGGGTCACACACTTAGAAGTACTGCCCTTGGCCTACCTCTGTCCTGTCTTAGGAGACCTGGCGCTCTCCTGGAACTGGGCACTGACCATCAGCAATGGTGCCAGCCTCAGCTGCCCTTTGAGTTGGTGGATGGTGGAAAGCTCAGAAGATCCAGAGGAGGGGCTGAGTGGTGGTGTGGAGGACAGTGACTTTTGGTCAATTCCTTGGTGCCTACTGGCTGCTTGTCAGCCATGCTTGTAGGTGACCAGAGGCCAAGGGTCTTGCCTGAAGGCCCCAGAAGTTCAGATGCTTGTCCTCCATGCACACAAGTGAGATAGGGCCTCCTGTGCCTGGAAGGCAGCGGGCATGGTGGAGAGCAATGCACTGCTCCGTTAGGCAGACCTGGGTTCCCCTTCTGACAATCTGCCTACTCTGTGTGGCCAGGCAAGTCCCCTAACCCCAGAGCCCTTGCTGCTCCCCCACAACCCCCAATCAGAGCAGGCGATTCCCCACCCTTCCTACTGCCTGCAGTGCTCCACCACCTTTGGAGAGGGGTCCTGCCTCTCCTCCCTGCTGCCCCCTCCTCATGAGGGCTGACATCTCCTGTTTGACTCTCTAAGCCTTTAAATAAGAAAGCGATTGGCAGTAGTGGGAAATCGTCAGGGGAAGGGGGGGTGGGATTGGCAGTTGAGGGAAACTGCTAGGGGAGGGAGGGGCATACCTCATCAACAAGGGTACCTGCATGATCGATGTTTGTATACCTTTTTATTCTAAAGATGTACCCCACATCTTTAGAATAAAAAAAAAAACAAAAAAAAAAAACCAGAAGTCAGTGACTTCCCATCTCAGAATAAAATCCAGAACACCTGCCAGGGTCCATAAGACCCCACATGACTGAGAGGTTTTTAACCTGGCTGCACAGTAGGGACCTTGGGGAGCTTTTAAAATACTACTGTAAGCCGGGCTCGGTGGCTCAGCCTGTAATCCCGCGCCTTTGGGAGGCTGAGGTGAGTGGATTGCCTGAGCCCGCGGGTTCGAGACCTGCCTGGGCAGCGAGACCTCATCTCTACAATAAATTAAAAAATCAGCCGGGCATGGTAGCGCGCGCCTGTAATTCCGGCTACTCGGAAGGCTGAGGCGGAAGGATCGCCGGAGCCCAGCAGGTCGAGGCTGCGGTGGCCGGGAGCGGCCACTGCACTCCAGTCTGGGTGACAGAGTGAGACTCCAACTCAAAAAAAAAACTACTACTGTAAAGTCAGGTTCAGTGGCTCAGCCTGTAATCCTGCACCTTTGGGAGGCTGAGCTGAGTGGATTGCCTGAGCCCGCGGGTTTGAGACCCGCCTGGGCAACTTGGTGAGACCTCATCTCTACAATAAATAAAAAATTAACCGGGCGTGGTAGTACACACCTGTAGTTCCAGCTACTTGGAAGGCTGAGGCGGAAGGATCGCCAGAGCCCGGCAGGTCGAGGCTGCGGTGGCCGG